ATGGTCGAGGGCCCAAACTTGTCTAACGTCCGACCTCGACGGGAGGAGGACGCCAAACTACCCGAGGCGACTCGGCCTATGGGTTCAAACTCTTCCTCGAGCTCTACCTCGGGTTCACTAGGGCTGTCGGGGGATGCAACTCGGTTCGTAGAACCTGCATCTGACCCCCTCGAAGAACTGTCTGAGCTATCTGAGCTAGACATCGGGGGGAGAAGGATTCCAAGAAAGTACTCACTCGGAAAAAGCAAACGAACTACGGGAACTTGAACGCGAGCTCAAGAAGCAAAACGCAGGAGAATGACAAAGTGACTGGGGTCCCCCACTATTTATACCCACAATAACCAAAAATCAACGGTTTTGATCAAAGCAAATCCAACGACCCGTAGTCGCGCTGACCGCACGTCTCCTGAGACCGAGATGTGACTGGCCGCACGTCTTTTGAAACTGAAAGAGCACCAGCGCACGTCTCCCCGCATTAAAGGCAGCAACGACGCTTTTTTTTTTTCAAATTTGAAAAGACGCCCGCTGTCATGTCTCCCAGCGGTGTGTTTTTTTAATTTTGAAATAAATGTGCGTTGTCACGTCTGTTAGCATTTATAGATGGATTGGCACGTTTCCCGACTTTTTTGGCGCTCGAGAAACCCGAAAAAATCCTGACGAACGCGCACTTCGTGCTATCAGTCAAACCAGTTCAAAGTACGGGTCAAATCCACCCGCCACCTCGCGAACTCCCCGTGCCAGGGCAAGTCCCTTTGCGCGAGGAGTGGGGGCAATTGATGAAGGAAGATTTGGCCCGACCTCGAAACCACTCAACACGTGGCAAAGGCAACAGCTCGGCACAACAGCACGCCCAAGGCGCGAGCTCCGAAAGGAGGAACCAGCGGTCCGAACTCCCCACAAGGAGCCCTAACTCCCCGCAAGGAGCCCGAGCTCTCCCTTAGACCCCGAGCCTTGCGAACACAAAGGGCAACAACCTGAACTGGCCCGCCCCATGGAAATTCGGGCCACACCTCCATCCGAACTCAAGACTTCACATCGCACACCACTCCAGCACTTTGCTTCCAGGACGGCGAACTGAACAACCGTACCGTACCTGACACTGAAGAAGTCCGTATCCTGAGGCAGCGCACCTGACTGACTTGGGATCTAACGCTTGACAGCCGCACTTCAACGGCCACCTGCCACCGCCATCTCCAGTTACAGAGATGGCTCCGACAAAGAGAGCAGTGGCGGTTCTGCCCCAATAGAGGTGATGACACCCGAACTGGCAGAAGCGCAGAGGAAATCATACCCGACTTGACAGAAGCTTAGGAGTGACTGCGCGAAGTGGTTATAAAAGGCCCCCTTCCCCCCAAGAAGAGAGGTATGTGATAACTTTGCGCCGTCTGATTTTTATCTTGCCTTTGAGGAAATCATAACTTGAGTTTCGGAGCATTCTCACCGGGTTCTTCCCCAGAGATTACTCGCTTTCTCCTTCGTTTCAGGCGCCTTTTGCTCCTGCCCAAGGCAAGATCTTTGACAGATAGGACTGACCGGATTGCGCACCATCACATACAACTCAAATAATGATAATCTGTTGTAACTTTTAAATTTCAAAGTTTCCTGTTTCCAACTTGTAACAAACCACTTGTAAAGGATATATATACTTCACAGCACCGGCAATTATCAAGAAGTAGGGTTGATGTTTTATACAAATTGTTTGTTCAGATTCTGTGAACATAATTTTGTTAGTAAAACAATAAGCAAAGGATTGGTTAGGATGGAAGCTGTTTGAGGAAGTTGATACTGTCAAAATCTCAAGGCCTAACTCGCATTAAAATTTGGGCCCCCAACCTTATTCACTTCCATGTCCATGGCCATTTCGAAGAGCTTGTATTTTTCGGTTCCCCACTTTTAGCCATAGCTACCATCAGTTTGCGTCCGCATTTCCTTGATGATCCGCATCCTCATCATCAACACTTGTGCAGACTAGATAAACTCTTCGGACGGCTGTTTAAGCTCAAGATACTTATCATTTGCTATTCTTTTCTCAAGGTACGTAATTGAATTCTTCTCCGGCCCCCTTGGCCTGGGCCTTACCTTAATAATTAGCTAGCTCATTTATTTTAATCCATCTGCTGCGTGCTAGCTTACAGCATAACTTAACTTGAACACCATGCATGCAGTTTTTGGCGGTTGGTGATGTACCAGTAAAATTGACGAATACCTTGGACTGCTTGAAGTATATCAGCCTGACAATAAACCTAGATGACTCCAAGCAGATTTTGGCTGCCCTTTGCTTGTTCAGAAGTTCTCCTCATCTACAGGAGATCGAGGTCACTGTAAGTCTTTTCAGACAATACTATGTACATTTTTCATTATATACATGGTGATTTTTTTAAGTATTGTCTTCATATCATTATCTTATGTGAGTTAATTTGGTTTTGTGATGGTTGTCTCTAGGCGGACTCGGACAAGGCATCTGCACTGATACATCAAGCCAACTTCTGGGAGGCAAACCAACTGCCTTTAAGAGAGATCATTTTTAGGAGACTTAGGAAAATGAAGTTGATAGAGTTCAAAGGAGTTGCACATGAGATGGGATTCATACAGTTTGTTCTTGAAAATGCAACGGTGCTCGATAAACTAAGTATCAAGAGGGGGAAGGGGTTTCAGTTTAAGGAACTTGAGCAGTTGCCTGTGTTGAAAAAGATGATACAGTTCAGAAGGGCCTCATCTAATGCCAAAGTAATCTTTTTGGATTAAGAATTCAAGTTGATTAATATTTAACATGTGGATGTGTTCCCATCCTATGTTAATGGGGCTATTGTTTATTTAGTCCATTGGTAAAATCTCCCCAACCCCCTAACACTGCTAAAGGCAGGACTGATCCCAAGTCCCAGCACAACAAGCCAGAGACCTTTCCATTTTGTCACAACAAGTCCACTGCTACCTGCAACATTATGCTGCGTTTGAAAGCGACGGAAAATATCAACAATGTAAAAGTTTACTTGGTTCAGTTTTGTCCCTGTTTGGATGGAATGTAAATCGATATCAATGTAAAACTCTATTTCGGTTTAAATTTGTTCATATTTGAATATTTGAATGGAGTGGAATTTTATTTACGATGTAAAATCTCATCAAAAGTAAATTTTTACATCCATGTAAATACTATATAGATAAAATTAATGAAAAAATTCATTACTTTTTTTCATGCTTTCCAAAGCTCAACCATAACTTTTTTAGGGTTCCGTGTAAAACCTCATCCATGTACTTTTACATCAATGAGGTGGGTTGAGTTTCAACTTTCAACCAAAAAAAAGATTACATGTTAAAAAAATGGGTTATTAATGGGTGTGGATGGTTGATGGATGGATTTATATTCAACCCACATCCAACCCAATCCATCCATTTGCCACTCCTACGGCCAATCCCATGACAAACTAACCTTTTATTTTTTCTCTTGAAACATGGGCAATTATTGACTGCAGGTGGTTGATGGATGGGTTGATCTTCAATTCGCCGCAGCCAATCAAATCCATCAATTTGCCACGCCACCCCCTAGGGGACATCCCAAAAATGCCTTTGTTTTAATTTGCTTCTCATTGTAGATTTTGTATGTGGATAGTAAGAAAAGGAGGGCCAGGCAGTTGATGATCATCTAGTGACGGCAAGTGGGTACGTATTAGCAACTACGTACCTTAAGAAGGATGAGCTTTTTCAATTAACATTGATGCAGGGTTTGGTACTGAAAATCTCCGACATTAATCTCGATTCCAAAAGCTCTTGCAAAAAGTTTTCTCATGAGTTGTTGCCATTCAGCAAGACGACCCTTAGCTTGTTGAAAGTCTGGTGGAAGTGGAACACCCTTCTAGCTAGGAAAGGTCGTTACATTCACGTGTAAGTACGAGTCAGGAATGTCACATGACTTTGAGGTTTGAATTGACGCCATTCTGGCAGTACCAGTAGTGGTGGATAGACATGTTTTCCCCTATATCCTCCGTTGTTTCAGACTGTCAATTGTCAATCAATACATGTCCTTCGTAAATCTACGCTGCTGCCCATGTTGGATCATCTAGCTCTTAAAAGACTAATAAAAAAAGGGACAAATTTAGAAAGACCCCTTAAACTATTATTTGTCATAAAGACCCCCTCTACTATAAGGTTAGTGACAATTACCCCCCTCCCCTCCTGAACTTCAATTTGCACCAAAGGCCTTTTTGAATTTTCAGTCTGTGACCAAACTTCAAAAAAGATTCTTATTTGGCTCTTTAAAATTTTTTAAATCCTCAAACGATCCTTTTCTTAATTTTCTAAATATAATATTGAAGTCCTAATGGTTGCTCTAATTGATCCTTGCAAATTTCTGGCTAGATTCAATATTTAAATGAAATGGTAGAGGGTTCTCTTTCTAATAGATATAAATTTAAGATTTTGTTTGTTTTTTCTTAATTTATTGGAGAAAGGAGTGAATGATTTTTATATCTTAAGATGAAGAGAGACATTAATGTCAGTGAAATAAAACAAGAATTTATAGAAACTTGTTTTTTATGTCATTGAAATGATTCTTGTTATTTTAATCGATTCCATTTGGAGAAAATGGGGGTATTTTTGGATCAACTAGGCTATGTTTGGTTTGAAGGAAAAGATAGGGAAAGGAAGGGAATGACAGGAAAACCTATACAAGGTTTGTAAAGGTTTCCCTACCTTTCCCTTCCTTTCCCAGCATTTTCCTTCAAACCAAAACATAACTTTAGGGTTTAAGAGAAAAGAGCAAGGAAAATTTAGGTGAATATTTTGGTAATTTAACTTATTATGTTATTTGACTTAATGGCCATGAGGTCTTTGTCGCAAAGTAAAATTTCAAGGGGATAATTATCACTGACCCTTCCCAAACCCTACATAAATCCATTCAATTTTTTGTTACATATTTACTTTTCTTAATTTTAATTTAATTTTTAGAATAAAACGTGCAAAACAATTACTTGATCTATTATGTCCATAATTAGATAGTATGTATCTGTTCCCGACTTTAATGATTATAATATGTTTTTTCATAAAACCCACTAAAACGTGCTATTTTTATGCATAAATAGCTCATTTGTGTCTTATATTTAGTGATATTGATGTTTATTTATGATTTATTAGAGTATTTATAGCATTTTCATGTGTTTCCATGCATATCTTTGTCCGTATCCATGCATATCCAAAGTGTATCCCGATACGTCTCTTAAATTTACCTTTCCGATACGCATAATGTTTCTGGTACTTTGAACCTTGCTCCTGAGAACTCTCCCTATTTGATCATGTTTTACTTCCTTCTCTATTTGTGCATTATCTCTCCCCCATAAAATTCTCACATTTTTATCAATAGTGTTAATTCCTTTTTTTTCTCCACTCTCTTTTCTAATTTGATATCAACTAATAGTGCATTAATTGTTTTGGCAAATGCTATATTACAAAAACTGCACTATAGTCACACAATTTTCTTTTTTTTTTTTTGTCTAATAAAAAGGCAAATGCTACGGTAAAACCATTGTAGGAGTAATTGGATAGAAGTTTAGGACCTATATATAGGCACAAGTTTCAGTTGGAGGAATATTTTTATTAAGATTTTGTTTCTAATTCCTATATAGTAAGTGAAAAATTTTAAGTACTCATTTGTAGTTTCTTTTTTTTTTTCTCAAGAGAGAAAGAAAGCAAGACGGAGGAAGAAAGATGAAAATTGACCAACATAATTCATGCACAATTGCTTTTATCATTGATGTGGCGATATCAATTAGATAAAATAACACCCACCAAATAGTCAAAAAATAGTCAAGACAAAGCAAGGTGCCAACTGGTTGGTTGTAAGGACTTTGACTCATTGACCGGTTGTAATGGGAATGGGCTACTCCGTGAGTGACTGCAGCCCCATAATGAAGAAGGAAGAAGAAAAAGGCAATTTTGCTTCTGTCAGTGAGGAAAGATGCCCATGATTAAGCGACGAGATTGTCTTCTATACACACAGACACAGTGAAAGTAACAAAATCCACAGGCACATTGATTTAACTGGATGCAATATACGCAGAGTTTTTGGTGGCAGGAGATCGATGATTAGGACTAGAATTCCTATTTACTCCAGGTTTCCCAGATGGGAGGCACGCGCTTTTGGCTTTTGTAATTATTTTATGAGGTCTCAATAATCAAACCACTTTTGAATTTTGATACATCAGTCGAAAACTTCCGTGTTTTGTTATTTGTTGTGGAGCCACTAAGAATTGAATTAATTAAATGGAGTGATTTCACGGTGGGGCCACAGTAATAAGGTTTGGATTCACGGTTTTAGCCCTAACCCTTTGCTAAAAAACATGAAATCATGTCGTACGTGGCGAAAGTGAGCTCTTCAAGAATATATTAAAAGGGTATTTATGAGAATAGAATTTTCTAAAAATAGTCTTATACTCTTGTTTACTTACAGTGGATGCATGCGGATTTTTTATTTTAAGCCTCACTTCAAACAAAGATCTGATGTATTGTTGTGTTGTGATTCCATTACAAGAACACGTGAATTTTCTGACAATCATATAAGCCTCGCTTGTGTTTTGGCCTTATTAATATCCTCTTAGGATATCAATTGGTCGGGTTTGGCATGGATTTACCTCAAATCTAATACGGCCGATACCACAGTGCTTCAATCCGAACTCGATCCGATTTGACTTAAAATGCATAATTTTCAAATTTGACCAGATTCATTATTTTGTAAAATCTAAGATGTCACTTTTCTTATGAAAAAAATTAAAAACAATATATAAAAAATAAACTTTAAATCTAAGAATAAATCACTCGTTTCAATTCCAAAAGATTTTAATCCCAATCTGATTTCAACTGCAAACCATATTGACCTTGAATTCTGTTATTGCAATCTCACCATTAACAATTCTATAGAAAATTGCCACGTCAGTGGCCCAATCCCAAATGATGTGTTTGGTTTGAAGAAAAAAGCAGGAAAAGGAAGAAAAATCTATACAAAGACTGTAAAAGTTTCCCTATCTTTTGCTTCCTTTCCTTGCCTTTCTTTTTCTACAAACCAAACATAACCTAAAAGTCGTGGCAACCTACCTTATCAAAATTGGGATAAGGGTATTTTTGTACTTGGGAGGTTTATATAGTTGTGAGAAACCTAGGACCCTGCCTCAAATGAAATAAGCAGCACCCACCGTCCACCGAGCGAAACTAGCGAATTTTAGAAATGGAAACTCCATTGATAGAAGAAGACCAAGAACAGAACCAGGTAACTAGAAATAAAAGTAGTGTGTTGTTGAAGCAGGTAGGTGAAGAGTCCAAGAAGCTCTGGAACATCGCAGGGCCAGCAATCTTCACAGCCATATGCCAGTACTCGCTGGGCGCCATCACTCAGGTGTTCGTTGGACATGTTGGCACTCTTGAACTTGCCGCTGTTTCCGTGGAGAACTCCGTTGTTGCCGGCTTAGCCTTTGGTGTCATGGTAATTAATCTTCGGCCTCTCTCGCTTATTGTACACACACAAATTCATGTAAAAACACGTAGGGAATTTCCTCCGCCCTTTTCTATTGCCATGTTCAATTCAAGCATCTAAGTTGATAACTAGATTCAAGTTTGAGTTCAAGAAGAAAAGCAAACAGCCTCGTCCAACTCAAAAATATATTAACATATATATATGGCATACCTTTTGTTTTCATCCGCCTTTTGCTTAGTTGGGAATGGGGAGCGCATTGGAGACGCTGTGTGGCCAAGCATTTGGAGCAGGAAATCTTAGGATGCTGGGAATTTACATGCAAAGATCATGGGTCATTTTGCTCTGCACCGCTCTTGTTTTGGTCCCTGTATATGTCTTCTCTCCTCCTTTACTGAGGCTCCTAGGCCAGACTGCCCAGATTTCAGATGCCGCCGGTGCTCTCTCTCTCTCTCTCTCTCTCTAGAATTGCAATTTTTTTTCACAAATGGACATCGCTATCTCCAAATTTTCCTTTGAACCTTTAAACGAAATGAAATGAAATGTGTATCTCACCAAAAACCAYAACTTTTTTGGGGTATAGAACTATAAAACACTTAGCTTCAAATGGTTGATGGATAATTAGATAAATTCTATGACCTGAAACGAGTCCAACCACACTAGCAGGACTGATGACTATCACAAGGTATATATGTATGATGGATGGTTAAAACTTGTTGATGGCACAGGGGTATTCGCTCTGTGGATGATTCCTCAGTTGTTTGCATATGCCCTTAATTTCCCAATACAAAAGTTTTTGCAAGCACAAAGAAAAGTCATGGTAATGGCTTACGTCTCCGCAATTGTTTTGGTAATACACGTGGTGCTTAGTTGGTTGGTCACGCTGAAACTTGGATGGGGCCTGGTCGGTGCGGCCTTCACCCTCAACTTATCGTGGTGGCTCGTCGTTCTTGGTCAATTACTCTACATTTTCATTTGGAAATCAGATGGTGCTTGGACTGGTTTCTCTTTGCTAGCTTTTGCAGACCTGTATGGGTTTGTCAAGCTTTCCTTGGCGTCCGCAATAATGCTATGGTACTCTCTCTCTCTCTCTCTCTCTCTCTCTCTCTCTCTCTCTCTCTACCATCTATCTGATCTTGTTGCATAACATGGCAGCTTGGAGTTCTGGTACTTGATGTTAATAATAGTGATAACAGGACATCTAAAGAACCCATTGATACCAGTCGATGCCATTTCCATCTGGTAAGAGTATTTCATCATTAATTCACTCTGTGCTTATAATGTTGAATTTACAATAAGGTATTTAGTTTTCTCTCTTTTCGACCTGCTGAGAATATCGTTTAAGACTAATTTGTTTATTTGGATACAAATTTCCTTTCACAGCATGAACATAAACGGATGGGATTTAATGATTGCAATTGGATTCAACGCTGCCATAAGGTTTTACACTCCCATATCTTCTTTTTTTTTTTCTTTTTCACTTGTCGCTTTGATTGATCCTTCAACATTTCTGTTCATGAAATCTTCCTATACGGTTGTTCTAACAGTGTGAGAGTATCAAATGAACTTGGAGCCAGTGATCATCAAGCAGCAAAGTTCGCTGTAAAAGTGGTGTCTGTGACATCCGTGATCATAGGACTGATTGCCATGCTTTTGATTATGACAACAAGAATCTACTTCCCTGTTCTGTTCACCAGCAATGTTGAAGTCATGAAAGAAGTTTCCAAGCTTTCTATCTTGTTAGGTGTCACTGTGCTTCTGAACAGCCTCCAACCAGTCTTGTCTGGTAATTAAATATCAAATACTACTTTATTCTTTTTCAGGTTCTTCTACATTGTAAAACCCATTAAAACCACTGTGGTTTACTGGAACAAATCACCTAGGAGATCTCCTACATAAAAAATAAATAAATAAAAAGAAATTTGAACCTGATGGCCAAAGGCCTCCATTTGAATTCCTTTGAGAGGGCTATAAATGTGTGAAAGGTCCATAGATTATATCTAGACAATTTATGATCATTCCAGTTTTCTTGAAAACACAACAAAAAAAAAAAAAAAAAAACACCCATGACAGAGTCAGAGAACACCCGGCCCCTATATTAGCATTTAAAACAAAATGTTCATTATTTATGAATGTTACGACTGTATAATATTTGATTCTTGTTTCCTTTATTCAGGGGTTGCTATTGGAGCTGGTTGGCAAGCAATCATAGCATACGTCAACATTGCATGCTATTATATTGTTGGTTTACCTATTGGCCTATTACTAGGGTTCAAATTTGATTTTGGGGTTGAGGTGAAGTATTAATTAAGCACGCGTGATTTAAATGAACAATTGCTAAGATCGTATAACTATTACTACTGAGACATTCTTTTTTCTTTTCTTTTTTTTTTTTTTTTCTGAGTTGCAGGGCATTTGGGGAGGAATGATTGGTGGAATTCTTTTGCAGACCATAATCTTAGTGATAATCACTTTACGCACTGATTGGAAGAGGGAGGTAAGTACCCAGAACTTCCTTAATTGCTTGAGAATTGAGTGGATATAGTTTATCTGTTTCATCATATCTCGCTTTGCAATTGTTTTCTCCGTCATGTATTATATTTGCTTTGTCTCTGGCATGTAGCCTTTATACTTATTCTGTCAGATCTTGTTAACTGAAGTCTGAAGATCAATTAGTACAAAGTTACAAACTACAAACAATTGATGCCCTTTTAACCTTTACCATGCATAACTGATGAATTTGCAGGTCTCACAAGCAGAGAACCGAATCAAAAAGTGGGGAGGATCAACAGGGCAGGATTGATATCCCGCGCACTAAACTTTTAGCTACATTGGTGTCATTTATGGTGGCAGTGGTGGATTTGATTGTCTTCATCAAGATTAACACATCACTTGTGAATTTTTCATTGAAATTATGTTATCAACATAATATTATGCGTAGGAATATTAATTATGAGTTTCTTTTCAAAAAAAAAAACAGAATATTCATGTTTTTCAATTGACAACTATCAGTATCTCTAGAGAAAAGCTCCAATAAACCGTATGGTACTGAGAGAAGCCGGTGTATGTGTAACCTCCTAAGAAATGAGTACTATGAGGCTGGTAGAGACGGGKCTTTTTCTTTTTCTTTTTTCTTTTTTATAACTAGCTGAGGTACTAGAGTTACATTGGCGCCCCCCACGGAGTGCGCCCCACATGGACATCTCAGCGTGCACTGGGAACATCTCTCATAGTTGTCATTGGGAGATGTTCCCAATACACGGTTCGATTTCGTTGCTTCTCATGGATGGAACTGTTTATTGTGGTTAGGGACATTCCACAGCATTTTTTCATCTGTCATTATCTCTTGGATGGAACTATTTATTTTTAAATTATTTATTACATTGTTTGTTTACATTATTTTTATTATAAATATATTTTTATATTCATTGATAATTACATATTAGTGTTTTATTTTATTCATTATTATTCTGTATTATTATACCAATTTATTTTGGATTTAAAATATAAGAATTTTCTGTTCAAGATCGCTATATATATTATTTCACAAGTTGTATGTGAAATGTATCAAATCTACAGTTTGGTGTAGGCAAGTCCACACTACACTTGCAAAAACACCCCTATGGGTGTAGACAATTTCAATCCATACATTTTATCCACAATTCAGAATAGTTGCAAACATTGGTGTAATGTGGATTCATTCTTGCCATAGTGGTGGTTCACACGCAACAATTTTTCATCCACGTTACATAACACCCCCCTGAATTTAGTGAATATCCCTAGCTACTTGACCTATTTATTGGGTAGAGGTCCGTGGGCTGCCACGGGTCGTGCCGTCCTCCCTGGTGGAAATTTTGGGGGGTCGGCCCAGCACGGCCCAGGCCCAAGCGGGCCCGTGCCGTGTCATGCCGGCACGCGGGCCTGGGCCGAGCTAGGCTGCAAGCCGTGCCGTGGGCTTGGACCGTGCCGGGTTGGGCCATAGGGCGGGCCTTGGGCCTAGGCCAAACTGGGCTACACTATTTTTTTTTTTACTTTTTATTTTTTTTTTTGAAAATTTTGATTTCTTTTCTAAGTAAAATTGTAAAAGTAAAATATTTAACTTTCTTATGAACTTTGGGAATTATGAACTATTTAAAAAATTAAGAAATGAGAAATTTAAGTTATTTAATACATAAATGAAAAAAAAATACTTAACCAATTTGAAATAAAAATGATGGAATGACAAATTGGAAAAAAAATAGGAATTTTATTTCATTTAAATTTGAAAATTTTCCAAACCGGGCTACTCAGCTTAAAAGCCTTCATTTTTCCCATAGTACTACTACTACTGGGGTGGGAGTTCCACTTCCATCGACATCAAACGCATCCGCATCAGTGCTAACACTAATAATATCGTGATGCGATTGAATGTCATCCATGGTGAATATGTTGTGGAATTGGTTTTGAGAAGGGCCGGCCATTTTTTTAATTCTAAAAAGATAAAAATTAATCTAATTCAACTTACCCGGATTGCCGATTCAAAATCCTAGCTCGATTTCAACGGCTGAAGCCTTTCAACGTCCAAGCCTCCCGAATTGAAATACTTGAGCTGGTTGAGCAAGCATTCTTCTTGTTGAAAGTCGAAACTTCGATAAAGTTGA